GCTCCGCTCCCGCTCCGCCACCCCGCAGCCGCGGCCCGTGTGTGCCCCCAGCGGCGGCGGGGCCCGGGGCCGCCGGGCCGGCGGAGCGGGGCCTTCCTCCCCCTCCTCCCCCTCCTCCTCCTCCTCCTCCCCGCCCGCCCCCTCGGGCCGCCGCCGCCCGCCTCCCCGGAACGCCGTGGACCGCATGGCCGGGCCCCGTTACCGCCCGCCGGCACCGCGGGGCGGCGGCGCGGGGAGCGCCGGGGGCATCGGCGCGGAGCGGCCCCCGCCCCGGGGATCGGCGGGGCGGGGGTCGGTACCGGGCACGGGACCCCGGGTACCGGCGAACGGGGCTCGGCGCGCATGCGCCGGCGGCCGTGGGGGCGGTGGGATCCCCGGGGGTGAGGAGCGGGGCCGGTCCGCGCCTGGGGACCCCCGGGACGGTGCCCACTCGCGCCGCTTCCCCCGGGCGGGGGGTGGGGGGTGGTCGCGACACGCGGACACGCGTGAGGCGGGGGTCCCGCGCCGCAGTACCGGGGGCGGCCGCTCGGGGGCCCCCGAGCGTGGCGGTACCGGCTCTCCGCGCCCGCCCCCCGCGCCCGCCCCCCGACCCACGGGGGGGTCTCGGGTCACGGGCCGGTCCCGTGGCGGGAGGGGACACGGCGGGCCGGGAGCACCTCCGGGTTGCGGGGCGGGGAAGAGGGGCACGACACAAAGGACCCACCGCTACGAGCCCCCCAGGCGGGGAGGGCCGAGAGGGGGTGGTTGTGCTGTGATTCTGGGGGTCTGCACCTCCCCGTAGGCGCGCACCCCTCCACGGGGGCTGAACCCCCCTCGTGCACACACAGAGCTCTGCAGTTCCTGCTGGGCGTGTGCAAGAACGTGCACACACACACTCAAGTCCGCAGCACCCCCTCTGCAGAGGCTGCAGCCCCAGCACACTGGTACGTACACGGACATGCACGCACATGCACACGCGTGTCCCCTGCAGGGAACGACTGCAGCCCCCACTGCAGCACAGGCGCAGCCCGCAGACACTGCAGCCCGTGCACATGCACCCCCGGCTGCAGTCTCGGAACACACGTATGCACACGTATGCACACTCATGCACATGTGTGTACATTCATGCACATGTGTGTACACGCACAGCCCGGACTGCAGCCTCCGAGCACACGTATGGACGGGAATGAGCATGCACGGACATGTATGTACACATATATAGGATCATTTCCCCCTCTCCCGGCTGAAACTCCACCCCCCGCAGCACACGGGGCCGTGTCACCGGGGACACACAGGGGACACGCGTGGCACGTGCTGGGGACGCACAGGGGACACGTGGGGGACGTGCCTCTCTGCAGAGCTGCGTTCAGGGACACACAAACACACGCGGGGGGAGATCCCCCTTCACCCAGCTTCCTGCAAGCTTCAGGGTGCCCCTGGTCCTGGTGCCCGGGTCACACTGGTGGTGCCACCCCCACGATGTGGCGCTGGGGAAGCCCCTCCGCGGTTCTGGCTGTGCCATGGGTCACATGAAGCCTTGCCAGCTGTGCCCACCAGCGTGCGCACACGTATGGCTATTGTTCAGACACAGGGGGGCTGTGATTGTTCCCCCCATGGGATTGTGCACATCCACACATGTGGCTGTTGTCACCTCCAGGGGTGGCAGTGCTTGTCTCCCTGCGTGGCTGTGCTCACACACACGTGTGTCTGTGTTTATATATGTGTGTAGCCATTCTCATACGCAGAGCCATGGTTGTTACACACGTGTGATCATGTTCACACACATGCATAGCTGTTCTCATATTCATAACCATGGCTGTACATGTGTGTGGCTGTGCTCACACACACACACAACTGTGTTGATTTACACACAGAGCCATGTTCACACACGTGTGACCATGCTGACACACACACAGAGCCATGTTCACACACGATTTGCTCAAACACAGAGCCATGTTCACACACACACACGTGGTCATGTTCACACACAGCCATATTCACACACACGTATGACCGTGTTCACACACACAGCCGTGTTCACATACATAACTGCTCAAACACAGAGCCATGTTCACACACACAACCATGTTCATACACGACAGTGCTGAAACACAATGCCATGTTCACACGAGTGCTCACACAGAGCCATGTTCACACACACGTGTGCCCATGTTCACACATACACAGAGCCATGCTCACACATGATTGTGCTTGCAGAGCCATGTTCACACACACGTATGACCATGTTCACACACACAGAACCATATTCAAACACATAACTGTGCTCAAACACAGAGCCAGGTTCACACGTGTGACCATGCTGACACACACAGAGCCAGGGTCACACACATGTATCACCATGTTCACACAGAGCAATGTTCACACACACAGAGCAATGTTCACACACACACACAGAGCCATGATCACACGTGTGACCATGCTGACACACACAGAGCCATGTTCACACAGAGCAATGTTCACACACACAGAGCAATGTTCACACACACACACAGAACCATGATCACACGTGTGACCATGCTGACACACACAGAGCCATGTTCACACAGAGCCATGTTCACACACACACACAGAGCCGTGTTCACATACACAGAGCAATGTTCACACACACACACAGTGCCACGATCACACGTGTGACCATGCTGACACACACAGAGCCATGTTCACATACAGAGCAATGTTCACATATACACACACAGAGCCATGTTCACACACACAGAGCAATGTTCACACACACAGAGCAGTGTTCACACACACACACATAGAGCCATGTTCACACACACAGAGCAGTGTTCACACACAGAGAGCAATGTTCACACACAGAGAGCAATGCTCACACACACAGAGCAATGTTCACACGCACACACAGAGCCACATTCACACACACGCCTGGCTGTGCTCACACACACACACACACACACACACACACACACACACACAGCCGTGCTCACACACAGGTCCGTATCCGCACACACGGGTGCCGTGTCCCCGCCGTGCCCGTCCTGCCCGGGCCGGGGCCGGGCCGGTGCCCATCCCCGCTGCGGCAGGCCCACGTGCCGGCCGGCGCCCGCCCGCACATGGCTCTGCAGCAGGGAGGCTGCTGGGGCTAAAAATGGAGCAGGGCGCACATGCCAGCGCCACGTGACGCGCATGGAGAGGGCTCCCCGCGCGAGGAGGAGGAGGAGGAGGAAGAGGAGGAGGAGGAGGAGGAGGAGGAGGAGGGAGCCCGCTCACATGGGCTGGCACAGATGCCAACTGGGCAGCTGGCCACGACGCCGTGGCCTCTGTGTGACCTGTGGGTTGGGGGGCTGATGGGGTGCTTCCCCCCCTCCCTTCCTGACACATTTGACCTTTGGGAAGGTCAAACATGGGGTGACGGCGGAATGGGAAAGGGGAGGAGGGTTGCCAGGTGGTGGGTCTGGGGTGGGGGATCTGGAGGCCGAAGGAGTTCCCGGTGCTGTCCCGCCCCCTATCCTACCCCCCTTTGCTCCCCCTCCCCGTGTGGTCTCAAGGCTGCAGAGAGAACACAAACATCAGCACGTGAGATCTTGGGGGGGAGGGGGGACAGGTGAGAGGTTCCCCACCTGCCATGGCTACTCCCCCTGGGGGTGCTCCCCAGACCCCCCCACAGGATGAGCGGATGAGCACACTGGGGTCGCCCCTCCCCCAGGGGTCCTGCACCCCTTTTGCACCCCCATGTCACAGTATCACCCCAGTTTCTGGGCCCCTTTGGGGTCCTGGCAGTCCCAAACCCTATCCCAGTGCACCTTTCCCGTGGCCCTGCACCCCTGAATCCTCGTGGGATCCCTACACCCTTTGACCCTGCAACCCTTTTTGGGTCTCTGCAACCTCCCAGGGTGCATTCATCCCTAAATCCTGCACGTTCCCAAATCTGTGCTCTCCTGCTCCCCCCAATCCTGCACTCCTGCACCCTCCTGGGGGGTCCCTGTATCCCCAAACCCTGCACCTCTGCACCCTGCACCCCCAGACCCTGCACTTCCTGAGATCTCTGTCCCCCACTCTGGTCTGCCCTATTCCACAATGTCAGGAATGTGTCAGTGTCACGGAGTGTCCCTGCCTGTCTTGGGGTGTCCCCATCTGCCGTGGGGTGCCCCCGCCCGGGGCCAGGCCTGCCTTGTTTACCCGATTTTTCCCGTTCCCGGGGAGGGAGGATGATTTTGGCAGCGGGAGCTGCTGCCCCAGCCAAGAGCCAGGAACCGAGCCAGGGCTGCTCCCGGCAGGAAAACACCCCCAAACCACCCCAAACCCCAACCCTCCCAGTACTCTCCTGGCCCTCCACAGCAGCACTGGGGCTCCTGCCCCACCGTTCCCCCCAAGTGCCGTCAGTTGGGATGGATGAAAGGGGGGGGTCAGGGGTGCAGGACCCCCAAATTGGGTGGAACCCAGCACCTCTGTTCCCCCCCCCCCGAAGTACAGTTACAGGTGGAGAAACTGAGGTTCTATGTGTGTAGGGTGACATGGGGACACAGCTGGACCCGGTGTCCCCAAACCCACAGGGCAGCTGCAGACCCACGATGGGTCTGGGGGTGTCCAAGCGGGGCTGAGGGTGCAGGGCTGGGGCCCCTGTCCCCTGTCAGCCCCCGGTGTCCAGCCTGGGGGGCGAGGGTGATAGGCAAGAATGAAGCCCCGGTCCCGGCGGAGACAACCCCCCTTTTCCTGGAAAAGGTTCAACAAGGTAAACAAGGCTCCAGCCCCGAGTAAAAATAAACTCTCGGCACGCAGGCGCCGGGCGGGAAGCGGGGCGAGCGTCACGCGGCACGGCCACGGCACCGGCACCGGGCACCGGGCACCGGGCATCAGGCACCAGACCCACCGCCCCTCCGCTGCCTCCTGCCCCCGGGAGCAGCGGCGGGGGAGGGAAATGCGAACTGCATCCCCCCAGGGGCTGTTAAAGTGCGGGGGTGCAGGGGGTGCAACTGGGGGGATTCGGCATGGGAAGGGAGGGGCACAGCCGATGGCACGGATGGGGTGACGTGTGTGTCCCCCCGACACTCCGGGCACCCCACGGCGGGTGGGGGTACCCGACGGGGTCCTGGTATGAGGGGATGGGGCAGACCTGGACTGAGGGGTAGAGACCCGGGAGGTGCAGGATCTGGGGGCGCAGGATACGGGAAGACAGAATCTGGGTTTGCAGGGACCCCAGGAAGTGCAGGGATGCAGAGTTTGGGGGTGCAAGATGCAGTAGTGCATGGTTTGGGGTTGCAAGGGTGCGCAGGTCCGTGGAGGTGCAGGATTTAGGAGTGAATCTGGTGGCATGTGAGGGGCGTTCAGGTGTCCCCTCCGTGCCATGGACTAGTTTGGCACAGGCACTGCCATGATGGGGTGCACAGGGACCCGCGGGAAGCCCCTCGAGGCATAGACCCGGCCTCTGGGGGCGTTCCCGGTGCACGTCAGCTGCAGTACCCCCCTGTCCCGGTGGCTTTGGTGGCCCCTCTCCCTTATCCTGCTCTCTATGGGTGGTCCCAGAGTCGGGATATCCCGGAAATATCCCAGCTGTGCCCAGCCAGGGGTCCCTGCTCACAGCACCTTCAGCAGGACCCCCCGTGCCGGGTTCCCAGCCTCCCGGTGGGACCCCATAGAGAGACCCCAAGAGGTTTGTCCCGTCCCTCCCAGCCCCACTCCCGTCTCGGGGATTCCTGGGGGATCAGGGTTTCAGGCGAGCATCACAGGCGCCGTGTGCCGCAGCGCAGTGCGCGGGGATGTTTTTCCAATCCAGACGTGCGGCTGAGTCACGGATAATCACCGGGAACGTGCCGGGAGGGGAACGAGGAGCTGCGTGGGAGCGGGGGCACCTGCACGGTCCAGGCACAGCCCTGCGGGCAGGCGGGTCCCTTCACCCCGGGACCGGCGTTACCCTCCCGGGTCCCCCCCGTTCCCGTGCCAGCCTGGCCCCACACATCCTTCCGGGAGCTGCCGCGGTTCTCCCGGCCGGAGGTGCCACGGCACCGTGAAACCGCCCCGTGACTCAGGGCAAGGGCACGTCCTGTGGGGTATTGGGGTGTTCCCACTGCCCCAATGCCTTGGGGAGCCCCAAAATCCGGGACCACCGCCAGCAACCCCCAGACACCCCCAGCTGAGGGGTGGCCTTGTCATCCACGGGGAGCCAGGGGGTCTTTGGGGTGCAGAGCTCTGGTGTCCCTCCCCGGCCACTTCGCACAGCCGGGGCACTGGAGGCCACCCCTCCTGTGGGATTAGCTCAGAGTATTTCCCGGTGCTGGCATATCCGTGCTCTGCTCCTTCTCCTCCTGGCTGGGGTCCAGGGCAGCGCCCGGCACGTGGCACCCGAGAGGGTGCTGGCACCCCCAAAACCTAGCCCGCGGCGGGAGCAGGAGTACCCACGGAGCCCCCGGTGCCACCGGGCTGGGCTGGCCCCGACCGGCACCGCGACCCAGATCTGCCACCAACTCTGCCCTGGCACCGCGTTGCCGCAGCCCCCGCGGCAGCCGGGAGTGGGGCCAGGCTGGGACGTGGATGCCAGGCACGTGCCACAGCGGGCACCCGCCGTGGGCAGCATGGGGACAGCAGGGGCTCAGCAGGGGGACATCGGGAGGGGGCAGCGGGCAGGGGCTGTGCAGGGAGCTGTACCATGCACAGGCGTCCCTGACCCGGTGGGGGCTGCAGTGCTGGAGCCGAACAGGTGGGCACAGGAGACGGTGCCATGTGGGGTGACAGGGGTAGCTGTGCAGGGGACAGTGGCACGCGGGGTTGCAGGGGCACCTGTGTGTCCCTAGAACAATGGACAGTGCTTTGAGGGATGACAGGAGTACCTGGATGTCCCCAATGCTGTGCGGGGTGACATCAGTGCCCAGGTGTCCTCAGGGGAAGGTGCCACGCAGAGTGACAGTACTGTGCCTGGATATCCCCGCTGCAGGGGACAGCCAGTGCCACGGTCAGGTGTTCCCAGTGCAGGTGACAGTTCTGTGCAAGGTGACAGGGCTGACAGTGCTGCGACTGGCGGTCCCCAGTGCAGGGAATAGTGTCGTGCCAGGTGACAGATGTGTCAAGTGCTGCACCCAAGTGTCCGCAGTGCAGGGGACAGTGCTGCGGGAGGGGTTCCCAATGCAGGACTTGCTGTGCTGCGTGACGGGGTACCCCGCGTCCCCGGTGCAGGGGCCAGTGCAGGTACCGGTCCCCGCGGTCCGTCAGGCGGCCCCGGTGCTGGGGTCCCCGCCGAGCCCGGGCTCCCCGGCGGCGGCGCGGGGCCGGGGCCGCCGGCGGAAAGTGTGTCACTGGGGCACGAGGCTGTCCCCGGGAATCACATGGGGGAGGCGGCGGCGCCGCGTGCGGCCCAGTGCGCAGCCGCGGCCGGTGCGGGGGGCGGCGGGGCGGGCGGCGGGCGCACAACAGCCCGCACCGGGCGGCGGCGCGGCACGGCTCGGCGCGGCTCCGCTCTGGGAGGCTCAAGGGGCCGGGACAGGATGGCGGCCCCCGAGGCCGGCAGCACAGGTCAGTGCCCCGCCGGAGCCCCCCAACCCCGGGACCACCGTGCGGGCACCGGCACCGGCAGCGGTCCCCAGCACCGGAGCGGATCGGGGGGCAGCGCTTCGGGACTGCGGCGAGGGGCTGCGCGCTGAGACCGCGAGTTGGAGGGGTCCGGACACCGGGACCAAGGGGTCCCGCACGCCCGACCGGGCAGGATGCGCACCGGGGCCACGTCCCGGAACGGGGCTCCGTCCTATCGGGACCGAGGGGTCCTGCAGAGCGGGGTAAGGCTCGGACAACGGGGCCGGGGTGTCCCCGGGAGGAGGGTAGGGAGGGCTGCGCGCCGGTACCGGCTGTGTTGCACACCGGGGCGACGTGATCACTAGTACTGGGGTGTTCAGGCGGTCGGGGCAGAAGGGATGGAGACTGGACTGGGATGTCCCGAACGCCGGGGCTTGCTGGACGCAGGGGTAGGAAGGTTGAGAACAGGGATCGGTGTTCCAGGGTGTCCCGGGCAGCGGGACTGGAGGGGAGCGGGACGGGACCCGGGTGTCCCGGAGACCGGGACTGAGGATTCCCGAACGCCGGAGAGTGGTGGATGCAGGGGTAGGAAGGGTGAGAACCGAAATTGTTGTTTCCGGGGCAGCGGGACCAGAGAGGAGACAAGTGGGTCCGCGGCAGCGGGACTGGAGTGCCCCAGAAACCGGGACTGCAGGGTAGCTCACAGGGATCGGTTTATCGCGGGCGGTGGGACCGGTCAGGGTGACCGGAGGAGACCGCGGCGGGATCGGGGCTTTCCGTATCAGCGGCACCGGGGCCACGGGGACCGGGCAGCCCGTGGACGGCCGAGGCGGTGCCGCGCGTGTCGGGGCTCCCTGCGCACCGGGAGGGACGGAGGGGGGACCGGAGGCGGTGCCCCCCCCTCCCCCGTGTCCCCCCCCCGCACGTGTCCCCCTCCCCGTCGCTGCCACGTGCGGAGTTTGTTTTCCCCGCAGCCCCGCCCTACCCCCTCCCATTGGTCGGCATATGACATCAGTGATGACGTCACGCGCGGAACTGGGGACGCCGCCGTTCATTGGGGGGGGTAGCCCAGTCTCCGGGACAACGAGAAGGGGCGGGGCGGGGTTTGGCCAATGAGGGGGAGATGGGCGTGGTAACGCGTGAAGGGGCGGGGTCTGAGGGGGCCACGTGCGGCTGGAGCACGTGGGGCGGCGGCGTGAGGCCGCCTGAGCTCGGGGGAGGGCTGCGGGGAGGCTGTTTGGGGGGGTTCCCTCTGTTTTGGGGTCAAGAAAGTTTTCCCTAGCTCTGGGGCAAGCCGTTAGGGGGAATCCCCGCACCCCAAACTGTAAAATGGGCGTCCCGAGGCTTTGGGGTGTGGGGATCCCCCCATTATTTTGGTGTCATAGCAGCGGGGGCTCCCCAGGATCAGCTGCCCTGGAGGTGGGACCCACTGTCCCCAATTCAGTGACCCCCTTTGGAGGTGGTTCAGTGCGGGGGGATGGTGACAAGCTGGCTCTGGCGCGTGGCATCTGTGCCAGCGGCACCGTGTGCGGCGGGAGACACATGGCCGTGGTGATCCCGTGTGTCCCCGACATCACCATCCACGTGTCCCAGCCCGGAGTCGTGTCCCGGTGCTGCTGTCCCTGCCCCGTGAGTTGGGTGACAACGACTGTGACTGCAACCAGGAGCCACGCGTGTTTTTCCCCCCATGTTGCTCCCCACTTTCGGGGGTCCTCACACACCTCCTCAGTCCTGCAGTGGGGACGTATCCCCCCATTTAGGGGGAGCATTCCGGTGCCATGGGAGGCTCCACTGGGAGCACCCCAGTGCCGTGGGGGTCTGTGTCACGGGGGGCTGCGCCGTGGGACTGTCCCGGCAGCTGTGGGGCGGGAGCCTGGCTGTGCTGCAGGCACGGAGCCAGGAACGGCAGGAGTAACTCCTGTGACCTCCTGATTTCACCTCTCCAGAGGGTTCCCAGCCCACATTCCTCCTGCAGGCAATTCCGGGGTGCCCTGCCCGTGTCCCCAGCCGGCACGCACCCGGATAAACCCGGCTGTCCCCGTCCCACGTGGGGCCGTAGCCCGTGGCGGCCGGTGGGTGCGGTGCCTGACTCAGGGTGGGCGGCACACGTGCGGCGCAGCGGGATATCCACGGATCCGGGATGCATCCGGGGTGCTTCCCTGTAGACCCCACCCCGCGTGGGGCTGCGATTCCCCTCCAGGGGGCTCCCCCCGCCCCCCCCCTCCTGCGCTGTGGGAGGCTGAGCCTGGTGTAGCTCATTGCATAGGTGGCCCACCGGGATGCACCCGGGATGCTTCCCTATGGATCCCACCCCACCTGGGGCTGCAGTCCCCCTCCGAGGGGTTTCCCTGAGCCTGGCACAGCTCAGTGCGTGTGTGGCTCCGCGGGATGCCCATGGATTCTAATTGCCGATGGATTCGGGGTACTTCCCTTGGCATCCCACCCACCTCTGGAGGTTCCCACCTCCACGAGTCGGGGGAGGCTGAGCCCGGCACAGCTCAGTGCATGAGTGGCTCCTTCTTTCTGCAGGTGGGGTGATCAGCTACGTGGGCTCCAACGGCGCCTCTCCCACCCGCACCAGTCCCGTGTCCCTCTGCAGCGACAGCTCCAACAGCAGCTCCCAGTCGGGCTCGCAGCCCTTCCCCACGTACTTCCCACCGTCGCCCACCGGCTCCCTCCAGGATTCCCGCGCCTATGGCGGAGCCACGCTGGCCCCCCATGAAGACGGCTCTCCTTCCTCCTCATCCTCCTCCTCCTCCACCTCCTCTTCCTCGTACAGCTCCTCGGTGAATTTCCCCGGGGTGCAGCCGGTCCCCGCGGACGAGCGGCGCCGCAGCTCGCCGAGCAAAGCCGGCAGCACCGTCACGAGTGAGTGGGGCTCGCGGGGGGATGGCGGGTGGTCTCCCCACCCCGCGGCACGCACCCCTGGACCCCGATAACCCCATACCCCCGCAGAGCTCAACGGGATGGTGCTGCTCTGCAAGGTCTGCGGGGACGTCGCCTCCGGCTTCCACTACGGCGTCCACGCCTGCGAGGGCTGCAAGGTACTGGGATGGGGCCGGGGATGGAGCGCGGTGCCCCTGTCACACTGCGGGGACCCCTAATGATTCCCCCGCTCGCCCCGCAGGGCTTCTTCCGCCGCAGCATCCAGCAGAACATCCAGTATAAGAAGTGCCTCAAGAACGAGAACTGCTCTATCGTCCGCATCAACCGCAACCGCTGCCAGCAGTGCCGCTTCAAGAAGTGCCTGCTGGTCGGCATGTCCCGTGATGGTGAGTTCGGAGGGACCGCTCGTGACTTCTGGAGCCGGGGATTCCCTCCGGGGGTGGATTCCCCGTGCCCAAGCGGCTGGTCACTTCCCGGGATTTATCCAGCGCTGTACGTTCCCTCTGGAGCCCGGTCCCCCTGGCTGTGCTGGGTGCTGTGCCTGTCCCGCCTTCTTGGGAACCCCCATATGTGGGGCTGCGTGTCTCTTCCAAGACTGGGTGCCTCGTGCCCAGAGCTGCATGTTCCCTCCTGGGATGGGTTCCCCCCGTGTTCAGAGCTGCGTGTCCCCTCCAAGCCCAAGGCTGCAGCCCTGCTCCCGTCAGCTCCTGGCCCCTCATGGCGGGGTGGGGGTCACCGTGCTTGCTGCTACTGATGTCCCCCTAACACCAGTGTTCCCCCTCAGCCGTGCGCTTCGGGCGCATCCCCAAGCGGGAGAAGCAGCGGATGCTGGCGGAGATGCAGAGCGCCATGGGCGGCATGGCCAGCGCCCCACCGCCGATGCCGGGGCCCGGCGAGGGTCCCGCCGCGGGCGGGGTCCGCGCACCGCCTCCCGGCCCCCCGCCGCTCGCCCCCCCGGCCTGCTTCTCCCAGTTCCCCCAGCAGCTGACGCCGCCCCGCTCGCCCAGCCCCGGGGGGGCCACCGAGGACGTCATCGCGCAGGTGGCCAAGGCCCACAAGGAGATCTTCATCTACGCGCACGACAAGCTGGGACCCCCTCCCGCCTGCGACAGCGGTCTTCTGCGCTGGGACGCGCCCCCCGCCTGGGCCCCCGGCCCCCCCGAGCCCCGGCTGTGCCCCGCCGCCTACCCCGAGCCCCCGGCCCCGCGGGGTTGCCCCTGGCCCCGCGGCCCCAAGGACGTCCTGCCGGTGAGCGCCCGGGGGCTCCCGCTCCCCCCCGACTATTTTTAGCCGCTAATCACATTAATCCCCTTGTCGGTGCCCCCCTTCCTGTGGCGGCAGGGCCAGGGGAGCCCCCGATGCCCGCTGACCCCTGGTCACCCGCAGGCGTGCCCCATGAACAGCCACGTGCCCGGCCGCAGCGGGCGCTCCGTGCAGGAGATCTGGGAGGATTTCTCCCTTAGCTTCACCCCCGCCGTCCGCGAGGTCGTGGAGTTCGCCAAGCACATTCCCGGCTTCCAGGCGCTCTCCCAGCACGACCAGGTCACCCTGCTCAAGGCTGGCACCTTTGAGGTACGTCACGCAATGGCAAGGACTCAATGGACAGCGTGGTGCCCCACAGACTGACAGGGTGCCCCGTGGCATTGCCTGGTGCCCCATGGCATTGCACGGTGCTCTGTGGACTGGCATGAAGCCCCAGAGCATGGGAACAGTGGCCCAGAATATGGCAGGAGTCCCGTGGCATTGCAGTGCCCCACATTTGGGAGCCACGGTGGCCATTGCATTGCCTGGTGCCTCACAGCACTGCAGTGCCCCACATTTGGGATCTGTGGCACAGAACACGGTGTCCCTGTCATGGCACAGTGCCCTGTGGACTGGCATGGAGCCCTGCAGCACTGCAGTGCTCCACAAACAGGAGTTGTGGTATGCAGCACAGTGTTTCTGGTATTATATAGTGCCCCATGGCACCGCAGTGGCACATTTTGGGAGCTGCGGTATGGAGCATGCCCTTGGCATGGCATGGTACCCCACATTTAGGAACCACGGACTGACATGAAGCCTCGTGGCACTGCCCAGTGTCCCATGGCATTGCAATGCCCCACATTTGGTGGCATGAAACACAGTTCCCATAGCATGGTACCCCACATTTGGTAGTCACAGTGTGGATCATGGAGCTCATGGCATGGCACAATGCCCCTGGCATCATCTGGTGCCCCATGGCACGGCAGTGCCCCACATTTGGGAGCTGTGGCATGGAGACTGATGTCCCCGTGCCTGTCGCTCTGCCTGGTGCCCCATCCCTTATCCTGCCCCTCGCCCACAGGTGCTGATGGTTCGCTTTGCGTCGCTGTTCGACGTGAAGGAGCAGACGGTGACGTTCATGAGCCGCACGCGGTACGGGCTGGAGGAGCTGTGGGCCATGGGCATGGGGGACCTGCTCGGGGCCATGTTCGACTTCAGTGAGAAGCTCAGCGCCCTCGAGCTCAGTGACGAGGAGCTGGGGCTCTTCACCGCTGTGGTCCTTGTCTCAGCAGGTGGGCACAGGAGGATTTGGGGAGTTTTAGGGGGAGATTGAGGCATTTGGGGCTGGGATCACAGGAGTTTGGAAAAGGGTCGAGGAGTGTGGGGTTGGGATCAGGGGGTTAGTGGGGTGTCCGGGGCATTCAGGGATGAGATTGGGGTGACTGGGGTGGCATTGAGGTGACACCAGGGGAACATCAGAAGGTTCTGTGCTAGGATCAGGGTGATGCTGAGGTTGACATCAGGGGGTTTTGAGGTGGAACTGGGGTGTCTCCTCCCTGGCTCCTGACCCCCTGTCCTCCATAGACCGCTCGGGTATGGAGGACACAGCATCAGTGGAGCAGCTGCAGGAGACGCTGCTGCGGGCCCTGCGGGCCCTCGTGCTGAAGACGCGCCCGGCTGAGACCTCGCGCTTCACCAAACTGCTGCTGAAGCTGCCGGACCTGCGCACCCTCAACAACCTCCACTCCGAGAAGCTGCTCTCCTTCCGCATCGATGCCCAGTAGTGCCCCCCGGACCCCCCGGGCTCCCCCGCGCACCCCTGTACATACACCACAGCGAAGGGACACACAGACTTCCCCCTCCCCCCCGGGGCAGCACCGACCCCGTGGCGCCCGTCGGACTCGCAGGGATTCACCCCAAGGTGGGCGCCAGGATGCTGGGACCCCCCACCCCAAATCGGGCACCGCCCCCACGGCTCCGCTGGCAGCGCCGGGGGGTCCCCTCGCCCCAACACCCCCGTTCTGGCGGCCGGGGGTGGGACGCAGAGGCTGGATCCAGCCGCGCTGGGGGGGTGGGTCTGGGGGGAGGGGGTTTGGTTGGTTGGTTTTTTTTCATCATATATTTATTACATAAATATATAGTAAAATAGACCAGCAACAATTACCATAAAAATATCTTTCTTTAAAATCCTGACCAAAACACAAAAGGGTTTAAAATCGCACGTCACAGACTGTGATTGTCACGGGGGCTCCGCGGCCCCCCCGGCCCGCGCCCCTACATTCAGCGACGCCGGCCGCGGCCCCCCCGGCACCCTGCATAGTGGGGGACCCCGCGTGGGGCGCGCCGAGCCGAGCCGGGCCGTGCCGGGGCTGTGCTGGGCCAGGTGCCGGCCGGGCTCGACGCCCACGGGCAGGGGCAGCTCCGGGAGCCATGAGGTATGTGCTTGGGGGGGGAGGGGG